CCCCAAAACCCCAAAACCCCAAAACCCCTCATTTAATAATTTGAACTCATAAAAGAATGTAATCAAATTAATTTCTAATAATTTCATATTCTCTAAAATTTTAATGTAAAATCAAGTATAAACCTACGCTTTTCCCTTGAAGCAAAAACTTGAAGAGGGCAAATTCACTGTTTGCAGTGTTGGAGCTGGATATGTAGGATCATTAACATCTATTATATTGGCAGCATAATAGCCTAATCTTAAAGTAATCGTCTGTGATGTGAATCAAGACTTGATTAATAGCTGGAGTGATCAGAGATACCCCTTTTACGAGCCTGAACTGGACAGATAATTTGATGTAAGTGACTTAAATATTCATTTATAAAGCATACTGTAAAAACAGTATATTTATTGAAGAAGTGCCTATCTTCTCTGTAAAAGATATTAACTTTCATATTTAGATTGCTGTTAACTAGAACAAAAACATCAAGTTTACTACAAAAATTACCGATGCCATCTAGGAGTCTGATGCAATATTCATTTGCGTAAACACTCCACCAAAGAAAGACTTAATCAGTGGATTGGGAAAAGAATCAGACATGAAATACTTGTATGAAACTAATCTAACTTAATTTTCTTCAGTGATTTAGCTTGCTAAACAATAGCATCAATGGGAGACCCTAAAAAACACAGAATCTTGATTGAAAAAAGTACTTTCTAAATTTAACTCAATATTTTAGGTACTGTGCCAGTTGGAACTCACAAGCGCATCCATGGAATATTATCCTAAAAGCTTTCAAACCCTGATGATTGCTATACAATTGTGTCAATGCCTGAATTTTTGGCTGAAGGTGTTGCCATTCAAAACTTACTATTCCCAGATCGAATCGTAGTAGGCACACCCACAGATAAAAATGGGATGGAGACATTTGAAGTTATCAAGGGAATATATAGTAATTTTTAGACAAAATTCATTCATGTCAAAACAGCAAGTAGTGAGCTTGGTAAACTTTTTGCAAATGCAATGCTAGCTTAGAGAATTTCTTCCATCAACTCGATGTCATAGCTTTGTGAGACAACCGGTGCTTCCGTTTAAGATCTCTCCAAGATAGTTGGATCAGATAAGCGAATCGGACAGTACTTCTTGAATGCTTCACCTGCCTTTGGAGGAAGTTGCTTCGAAAAGGATCTACAAAGCTTGGTTTATATTTTAGAATCTCTTGGATAGACTGATTAAGCTATGTACTGGTCGTAGGTACTCCATATGAATTAATTCTAAAAAAGGAGATTACTTGATATGATAATTTCAGAGTTTCCGAATCCGTCTGAAACGGTTTTAACTATTTTCGGCTTTGCTTTCAAGAAAAATACATCAGATACAAGAATGACGCCAATTGCATACTTTGTGAATGGATTGATAGAGAAAGGTTTCTTTGTAAGAATTCATGACCCCTAAGCAAACGAAAGAGGATTTTATCTCGAGATGGAAATGTAAGGATTCGACATCGCTGAGAGATTTAACTTCTAATTTTGTGGATCAGATTATAATAAGGCTGTTGCAAATTCTAATGCAATAATTATCGGTACAGAATGGGATGAGTATATTACAACTAACTATAGAAATATAAGAGATTAAATGAATTAAAGTAGAGCATTATTCTTTGATTTGAGGTCTATTGTTGATGAAGAACCTCTAAAATATCTTGGCTTTGAAAAAGTATTTAAACTTGGAAATTGAAAGAACTTCAGATTATTATAAAGAGTTTGGCTTAAATTACATTTTTATATACAAGAATTGTATGAGAATCTGTTTATTTCTCTAAGTTATTTTAATAGTATGTAAAAATTGATTTGATTAGCTTTGGGGTTTTGGGGTTTTGGGGTTTTGGGG